ATTAAGTGTTCCCACCAGCATTTCTTGAAAAAAAAAAAAAAAATCCACCCTATGTTGTCATTAGGAGCTCTGGTAGCATAGCGCGTAAGGCGTTTGACTGCTAACCAGAAGGCTGGCGGTTCAAACCCACCAGCCATCTCTCAGAAGAAAGGTTGGGCAATCTACTTCCATAGTGATACTGCCTCAGATACCCAAGGAGGGTTGCTATGAGTCATATCCGACTCGACAGCATTGGGTTGAGTGGGATGTTGTCATTGAAAGAGCTATGGTGTTACAATGCCTAAAGCATTTGACTACTAACTAGGAGATTGGTGATTCAAACCCACCAGCTATTCCGTGAAAGGAAGATGAGGCAATCTATTTCTGCCTTGTAAACCCAATGGGGGTCACTATGAGTCAGAATTGACTCAATGGCAGTGGATTTGAGTGTGTTATAATTCACCCAAATTATTAAAGTCAAAATAACAAACTCAGGAGTATTAAAACCATGGTTAAGAAGCAATAACAATAACAGAAAAATACTAGTGAACATTTAAACCATTATAATGTAGTATTTTTAATGCATTTTATTGGAATATAATTTATATACGGTGAAACACACAAAACTAAAGTGACATGAGTCAATACTTTTTTTTTTTTTTTTGCAGTGTTCCCTCCCCTCCCTTCCCACCTCTGGCAACCAACAAAGCAAATTTCCCTCTATATATAAACCTTTCCTTGATCCTCCACAACAAGGAACTAATACTATATTTGTCCTTCTGTGATTGACTTATTCCACTCAGCAGAATGTCCTCCAAGTTCATCCATATTATGCAGTGTTTTGTTTAGTGCTGCAGAGCATTCTAGTACGTATATGTACCATAGTTTGGTCATCCACTCTTCCATTGATGGGCACGTAGGTTGTTTCTATCTTTTTGCTATTGTAAATAGTGCTGTGATGAACATGAGTGTACATATATCTGTTCTTGTCCTGGCTCTCACCTCTCTAGGATATATAGCTAGTAATGGGATTGCTGGGTCAAATGGTATCTCCAATTCCAGCTTTCTAAGGAATCACCATATTGCTTTCCACAGTGTTTGTATCACTTCACAACCCCACCACCAGTGTATGAGAGTCCCAATCTCTCCACATCCCCACCAACATTTATTATTTTGTCTCATTGAACCTTGCCATCAGTGCTGGGGGAGGCGGTATCTCATTGTTGTTTTGATTTGCATCTCTCTAATGGCCAATGATAGTAAGCATCTCTTCATGTATTAGCTGGCCACCTGATTATCCTCCTTGTTGTAGGGTTTTCTCTGTGTTTTTCTCAATTTTGTCAGTGTTGTCCTTGATCTGTCTCTCAATTCGTTGAAGGTACCTAAATATAATTCTTTTGAATTCCTTATCAGGGAGTTCCAATGCTGCATCTCCCTCAGGGATGTGTTTTGGGTCTGTAACCTGGTCCCATTTCTTTTGCTTTATCTTGCTTCTTTGTGTGGACTGTGATGCTCTGTTGTCTCTGAAGCATTGTGATGTTTTTGTGTTTATATTTAATTGGTAATTGTATGTTGGAGTGACTTGCCCACGATTTTTGTTTTCTTTGTATGTTATCTATGCAAGCAGAGTACTGTGCTGTGCTCCTCTATTCACTGGTTGACAGCACTTACACACTTACCACCTGTCTCCTTTCCTATTGTCAGCCTGTCGTATGTCCCTGCCAACCTGGGCAAACAGAGCCTATTCTTAGGTCCCTGGAATCCGAATAAGAATGCTATCATTTTAAAATCTAAAATGGTTGCCACTTGTAAACATTCAAAATGGCTGCACCCTCAGTCACTTTAAATATCCAAAATGGCCACCGCTTATAAACATTCAAAATGGCTGCACCCTTGGTCACTTTAAATATCAAAAATGGCCGCCACTTGTAAACATTCAAAATGCCTGTGCCTTTGATCACTTTAAATATTCAAAGTGGCTGCCACTTATAAACATTCAAAAAATGGCTGCACCCTCAGTCACTTTAAATATCAAAAATGGCTGCCACATGTAAACAATCAAAATGGATGGCTGCACCTTCCAGACAGCGAAAAGTCAAAGCTCAGGGTGTCTCCCTCCTTGCTGTTTCCCTTCCTAGTCACAGGCCACCAGTGCAGCTGTCCCTGCAGCCCTTGGTGATCAGGGCTGATCTTTAGGTCAATTCTCAGGTCCCAACACCACTTGGAAATATTCAGGCTGTTGGTCTCGTCACAGTAGCTGACAGTCTAAAGCTCTGACCATCTCTGTACTCACTATTTTCATTCAGGTTTTTCCACTAGTTGGTGCCTAATCCACTTCCACATAGTTCCTTTCAAAGCTCAGGGCTCCAGGATTATCTTCTGTATCTCTGTCAATTGGTTTTTCCTTTCTTTTTTGAAGAGGGTATGTGTCTCTTGTCTGCCTATAATGCAGTTTTAAGAGTAAACTGGGGGGATTATGATTACAGAAGAGAATGTAAATATTATGTACCCTGACAAAACAAAAATGGTATAACCAAAAGAAAACAAAACAAACCCACTGCCACTGAGTCTATTCCAACTCACAGCCATCCTATACAACAGAATAGAACTGCCCCATAGGGTTTCCAAGTCTATAAATCTTTAAAGAAGCAGACTGCCTCATCTTTCTCCCATGGAGCAGCTGGTGGGTTTGAACCATCAACCACTTGGTTAGCAGCCAAATGCCTTAACCACTGTACCGTAAGCAACAAAATTCAGGAGATATGAGGAAAGAGAGAGGAAATATAGTGTTAATCATAGAGCATTCATATGAAAATATAGTTAACCTCTTTAAGTTTTCATAATCCTTTTTTCTTAGTGTTAAGTCTCTTTTTTTAAAAAAACATACTTAACTGAAGGTTAGAACATTATTTGGTTTCACTTCTGCTTCTTTTTCTTATGTTAAAGTCAAGCAAAATTAAATATAAATGATCATATTAGAAAAAATTATGTAATCCTTTATATCATCCCATTCTTCTAATAGGCTATGAGCATAAAGAGATACCCAGAATGATGCTCTACTCTTACAAATACAGTGGTTGGATATTGGATAGTTTGTTATGGTACTTTTCAGTGTTGCTTGAATTATTTTTAATGACCCCATATTTCTACAAAAACCATAAAATCATTACTATTAATATAAAGTCTTGGTGACTAGTATCATTATTTTTCTAATTGTTTCTTAGTCATTGCAGTTTTGACAAACACTAGAAAAGTCCTTGACAGTATTTTTGCATTTCATGGTAGAGGTATTGACAAGTGCCTAGAGGCCAAAGGCATGTGCTGTGGAAAATATCTGCCATTTTAATAGGATGCTTTTTGCATTCTTAGTGAATTCACCAATCAAAACAGTGGACTAACTGGGGTGTATATGAAGTGGAGTTGGCCTGAATCTCTGTGATGCTGGTGGGCAGGAACTGCAGTCCACGGTGCTATTGGATCAATGTCTGAACCAAGAGTACAAAAACTTTACCTATGATACTGGCTTAAGCAATAACTAGCACCCTAATTTGGATACTTGCTTAAAATAGAGTCCCTCTGCAATTCTGCACCTTGCCACTGTGAGTTCTTTTCACTTCCTTAAAGGTTCCATGTTCTCCTGCCTCTGGGCCTTTGCACATGCAGTTCCCTCTGCATCAAACATGCTCTCCCTTTCCATCTCTTCACCCAGCTCCTTTTTCAGGCCTCAGCTTTAATTTCCCTTCTTCTGGAGGGCCTTCTGTGACCCAGACGAGGTTAGATCGCCCTTCTGTATAACTGGTAGCACTTCTCATAGTGTCTTTCTAACCATCTGCTCAATAACACACCTCTTCAGTGGAGACTGGAATCCAGTTTAGGAAATAAAAGGTCAGCACTTGCTTCGTCTTCCTCTTCCTGCCTCTGCTGAGATGTGACCTCTGTCACTTGCAACAAACTCCTCTCTCCTCTCTTCCTGCTTCCTCATAGCCTCTATGGTTTGTTTTGATTTTTTCTCAGCAGGCTTTTTGGCTCCTGCTTCTGTTAAAAAACTAAGTTTTTCAGTTTTAAGTTCATCACGAAGGAATAGATGTTCAGTTTAGCCTGTTACTCCTTTGGGATCAAGCCCCACTCCTGGGCGCACAGGCCAGTGTCAGAATGAACTGGGCACTGTGCAGGCGCTCAGTTCCCTTGCTTGGCTTTTGGTAAAATATACTGAAGTACAAAAAGCACATTGCGTGTACACCAGTGTTTATCGCAGCACTGTTCACAATAGAAAAGATGTAAACTGAAGATGAATGGATAAACAAAATGTGATACATACATATAATGAAGTATTTTTCAGCCATAAAGAAAAGTGAAGTCCTGTTACATGCTGCAACATGAATGAACCTTGAAAACACTTTGCTGAGTGAAATAAACCAGACACAAAAGGACAAATATTGTATAATCCCACTATTATGAAATAGCTAGAATAGACATACATAAAGACAAAAGTTTATTAATGTTACCAGTGGCTGGAAGAAGGGGAAACGGGGAGTTGTTGCTGAAGGGATACTAAGTTTCTGTTTGGGATGATGGAAAACATTGGGAATGAATAGTGGTGATGATTGCACATGATGAACGTAATTAATGCCAACAAATTGTACACCTAAAAATGATTAAATGGCAAATGTTTTGTTATGTATATATTTTATCAAAATGGAATTTTTAAAAAGCATGTTGCAAAGCGGTGTGTACAGTGTGATCCTAAATCCGTGTATGTATTAAAGGCCATAAGGAAATAAACCAAAATATTATAAATGGATTTCTTTAGTGGAATTTCTAGTTATTTTTATTTATTTGCTTTTAAATTTTCTGAAATAAACGTTTTCATAGATGCTTAAATATCACCGACATATGGGACCTCCCCAAGAAGACTAGCAAAAATTGGCCCGACCATTTGGAAATGTCTTTTCTTCCCACATTTCTCATTTCTGCCCATATTCGATGTGTTTGCTTATTCTTTCTGTCTTTTTCCTCCCCAGATGACGGGATGCCTAGGATCCCTCCGCACATCCTCAACAGCTCCCCATCCGATCAGCAGATTAATCAGCTGGCCCAGAAGCTGGGGCCTGAGTGGGAGCCCATGGTACTATCCCTGGGTCTCTCCCAGACAGATATCTACCGCTGTAAGGCCAACCACCCCCACAATGTGCAGTCGCAGATCGTGGAGGCCTTTGTCCGGTGGAGGCAGCGCTATGGGAAGCAGGCCACCATCCAGAGCTTGCACCGAGGCCTTGAGGCTGTGGAGGGGGACCCCTCGGTGCTGCAGCACATGGTGGAATGACGGTGCCCATCAACCTGCTGCGGAGGCTGTCTCCAAGTCACAAGGGTAGCTGACTTTCACTTATGGCAGGTTTTTTGTTTTGATTCGTTTTAGTTTTCCTTTTTCAATGATCTTTAGATACAGGGGGCACAACAGAGTTTCCACTTTACATGACTTGAAAGGACTAATTACTCAGTAGATCTCCCACATTGGCTGGATGATTGTTTTTAATTGCTTGAAGATTGCTTTGTTGTAATTGTACAGTTTTTAATTGTATGGTTGCCTTTTAATAGACTGGTAAATTACAGTGGTTCTAACAATTTTTTTTTTTTTTTATCACATTACATACAGGTGTCCTATATATAAGACATATAAACACCCACTTTTATGTTGCCTGGGAACTGAACTGTGGACTTTGCTATTAATAATGATGATGATAATAAAAAGTGAATTGCTCTATGTAATGTGCCCCGTTCATGGGAATGTATTATTTTCCCCCTTTCATTCTTGTACTACAAAGATTAAGGGTATAAAATTACAGTTGTCATTTCTTTGGAGCAGAATGGATAAGTAAAAGTGAAATACTTATTTTTCCTATGCAAGATCAATAGCTCAGGCAGGGCAACTGGATGAAATTTAAGACACTAAACCTCCCTGGGAAGACCAGTTCAAGTACCAGCATGCATCCCTGAGCCTGTGATCTTTAAAAGGGTGCTGAAGAACACCCTATGCCATTTATTTAAAGGATCCATTCGGGGGGCCACAGAGATGTGGTCTTTCAGCTGGTGCCATCGTGAGTGGAGTGGTGTGCTCCCAAGGAGTATGATGTACACATAATCTTCTGTCTTTTTTTTAATCCCAGCACCCAACTGTGTTTGTAAATGATTTACCCTTCTCAAGACTTTTTCTATTCCTGATCTCATTTGGACCTCACAGTCATCCTATGAGGTAGATGGAAACGAGTGCTTAGGTTGGTCTGTAGAAAGATTCAGCTCCTTGCCAAGAGTCAGGGAGCTAGCAGGTGTGTCTTCAGAGCGTTCGTCCGGTGTGCCCTCTAACTGCTCCTTGCCTCCACTCCTCCTCTCTCAGACATGCTCATCATGAAGCTCCTGGCTCCAACTATGAGCTGCGTGACCTTGGACAAGTTACTTAACCTGTTTCCTTGTTTGTAGAATGGGGAAATGCTTGTACCCATCTCTAAGATTTTTGTTATGATTAAAAGGATATTGTCTGCCAAGTGCTCATCCAGATCCTGGCCCATAGATGGCTCTCAAGAAATAGTGGCCAGAAATGTAGCTGAACGTGGAGCTCACAGGCAAAGCTGAGTGGTAGCAGAAGCTGAGGGCACTGAAGGAGGCCCTGCTTTTGCCTCCTTTCTTGCTAAGCTTTCAAATGTAGTTATGACATGATTTTATTAACTCTATAGTGGAGCCAGTTAATGAAGAGACAGGGAAACATTCTCAATCTGTGGTGTGTGCTTTTTAATAACTGGGGAATCTATTTCCTAATTCAAAACAAATTTAGAATTTTTCAAAAGGGAAAAAATTCTACTTTTCACTGCTCTCCATTCCAACAACAAGTATATTGAAAGGTAGAGTTGGGCATGAAGCAGATATTCAGAAAGATGACAGTGGTGTATTGATAGCATCCTTTCAGATGTGTGCTGTGATAGTTAGGGCTGTGTGTCAACTTGGCTGGACCACAAGTCTGAGGGTTTAAGTAGTTGTGATGTGGTTATTCCAATGATGAGATGGGATATATATGCTATGAGCAGCTGATCCATTGAAAGGGAGTTTCCCTAGGGGTGTGGCCTGTTTGCAATATGTATGTGGACATCCTAGAAATGAGAGAACCTTCTGTGGATCTGATCCTGTTGTGCTGCCTACAACTCTCCGTGAACGAACAATCCTCCATTCTGCCTGGTGATCTTAGATTCATCATCCACCAGAGTCAACAGCCAGTATACTGCTGCCAACCTCAAGGTCATCAGCCCCTGCAGCTGTATGAGTCAGGAAAAGCCTCCAGTTTGATGTTTGATCCAGGAACTTGGGACTTACCAGCTTCTATAACTGCATGAGCCATATTCCTCAGATGAATTTTTTTTTTTTCTCTCTCTCTATATAAGCTTTACTGATTTTGCTTCTCTAGGGAACCTAGCCTAACACATGTGGTAACCATATTCCCTTTATTTAAAAAGATTAATTCTTCCACCATTCATTTATTAATTCAACAAATAGTTCAAAATGATAGTCTACTGGCCTTATCAGCTCTAATTTTTAAATTTGTACCCCAGTCTGTAATTCATTATATTGTAAAATTCTCATACTTCTTGGCCACATCACAGTGCCCAGTGATAGACTGTGCTTCCATGGCATCTTCAATAAACTACTTATGCATTTTTGAACCTTGGAAATGTTACTTTGCAATTCTTCTCTCAGGTTTCCTAAAAGAGAGTTGCTTTGGCTTTTGTTTTTATCACTCAGAGTCACATTTATGGATGAGTGGCTATAGCTAGGCCCAGCTACATCTGACTAGATTGCAATTTAGAAGTTGGTTCTGATGATTAACTAGGCCGTCTTCCCATGGTTTGAAAGGAATATGTCATGGACAGACACTTCTGGGCTGTCTGCACTCAGGCACAGTCAGTGAAGAACAGGCCAGTAAGAGGCAGATGGACAAGGCTGAGGAGAACATTAGGGAGCTCTGACATGTTGCTCTAAACAAGCAGGGTGTCTTCACCACCAAGTGACAGCAGTAACAGCTTGGCCTGCTCATGCCTTTGCAGAAGATTTGTGGAAGAGAAAAACTGAGCACACCAAATCACTGCCTTGTTTTTGCTTCTGGCTGTGAAGGGTGATGCTACATGGTCTCTGCTCACCTCTCAAGAGAATCAGATGGGTGATGTGCCTGCAAGGTCTCGATATGTTTTTGTATGGGAGACAACTCTACAATTCCAGAGACTTCCTGGCCCTAATAAAATTCTGAATGAATGCAGTGAGTTTGCAGAACATAGTAAGCACTGGCAAACAAAAAACATTGAAAGAAGTATACTCCACTTTGGGGTTGAGGTGTGTGATGGTTAAGGTTGTGTCACAACCTGCTGGGCCATGAATCCCAGCAGTTTAGCATCTCCCATGATGAGATGTGCTATGAGCAGCCAGTCAGTTGAAAGGGAGTTTCCTCATGGTGTGGCCTGCTTGCAATGTATATGGATGACCCAACAAAGATCTCAGGCTTTTTGCTCAGTTTGGATCCTGCATCTGGGTTATCATCATCTGACCTCAGTTCCTGGATTTGAACAAGTGGCCTGCTGTATTGCCTACCAATCTTGAGTTGTTCAACCCCTGCAGCTACATGAGGCAGGAGAAGGCTCTAGCTTGACATCTAACCCACAGACTTAGGACTTCCCGGCCTCTACAACTACATGAGACATTTCCTTGGGATAAATTTCTGTGTATCTGTCTATCTATATAAACTTCACTGGTTTTACTTCTGTAGAGAACCCAGCCTAAGACAAAGTTGTATGTGTGTGTGTGTGTGTGTGTGCATGCATGAGGGCATGCATTCATGAGAGTGTGCCATTTATCTTTTTTAAAAAATACAAGTTTTATTAAGTCTTATCAAGACACATACAATACATGTTTATTATAGTAGCTTGAGAAATTACTAATGGGCAAGAAGAAAATGGTAATTACCCCTACTTCCATCTTCCAAAAATAACCATTGTTGTTGTTTGGTGCTGTCAAGTCAATTGCAACTCATTGTTGTTGTTGTTGTTATGTGCCGTCGAGTCGGCCCTGACTCATAGTGACCCCTCCTTGGGTTTCCGAGGCAGTATCACTACGGAAGTAGGATTGCCCAACCTTCCTTCCGAGGAGTGGCTGGTGGGTTTGAACCGCCAGCCGTCTGGTTAGCAGGCAAGTGTCTTAGCCACTATGCTACCAGAGCTCCTAATTGCAACTCATAGCAACCTCATATTTCACAGAACGAAACACTGCCCAGTCCTACACCATTCTCAAAGTCATTGCTATGTTTGAGCCCATTGGTAAAGCCACTGTGTCAATCTGTCTTATCAGGGTCTGCCTCTTTTTTGCTGACCGTCAACTTTACAAAGCATGATGTCCTTTTCCAGGGACTAGTCCCTCTGATAACATGTCCAAAGTACATGAGACAAAGTCTCATCATCCTTGCTCTCAGGATCATTCTGGCTGTACTTCTTCCAAGACACATTTGTTTGTTCTTCTGGCAGTCCATGATATGTTCAATATTCTTCACCAACACCATAATTCAAAGGCATCTCTTCTCTTTCGGTCTTCCTTATGCATTTTCCAGCTTTTGCATGCATATGACAGGAATGAAAATACCATGGCTTGGGTTAGGTGCACCTTAGTCTTCAAAGTGACATCTTTGCTTTTAACACTTTTAAAAGGTCTTTTGCAGCAGATTTCCCCACTGCAATATGCCCTTTGATTTCTTGACTGCTATTTCCATGGGCATTGATTGTGGGACCAAGTAAAATGAAATCCTTGACAATGTCAGTCCTTTCTGCATTTATCATGATCTTGCTTATTGGTGCCTTTATGAGGATTTTTGTTTTCTTTATGTTGGGGTTTAATCCATACTGAAGACTGTAGTCCTTGGTCTTCATCAGTAAATGCTTCATGTCTTCTTCACTTTCAGCAAGCAAAGTTGTGTCATCTGCATATCACAGGTTGTTAATGATTCTTCCTCCAGTTCTGCCATTGTGTTCTTCATATAGTACAGCTTCTTGGATTAATTGCTCATCATACATTGAATAAGTATGGTGAAATATGCAACCCCGACACACACACCTTTCCTAATTCTAAACACGCAGTATCCCTTTGTTGTGTTCAAATGTCTACCTCTTGGTCTATGTACAGATTCCCCCTCAGCACTATTACATGTCCTGGAATTCTTATTCTTCTCAATGTTATCCATTATTGTTATAATTCACACAGTTGAATGTCTTTGTATAATCACTAAAAGGCAAGTAAATATCT